TCTGCGCAGGGACTGCTGGCCCGCCGGATATTTTTACTTGCCTCGGGCATTCGGGCAACCGTTAATGTCGGACCCTAAACTGTTGTAGGCTACTGCACTCAATCTTTTGAAAACAAGAAATAAATAAAATACAATAAGAGACAGATACTTCAATAAATGCAGTGGTTCTACCTTTTTTATCAACCAAGCGACGCTGCTCAGCCTCACCCTCTGTCATCTTTACACGTGCTTAAATCGCCGGCCTGGATCTCCACTCTCCACACACGCGGGGGTGGGGGCGTAGCGGTTGAGTTGCGCATGCGCGTCTCAGAACGGAAACACCAAATAATTGTTTTTCCTTGATTATATGAATTTTGAGATTGTCTGGAGCCAAAATCGTAATCACGATTAAAATTCGATTAATTGAGCAGCCCTAGTACATCTTACCCTGCGATGTGCGATGTGGGCAGCGGTTCCAGTCACACGCTGCTACTGCTGCCAAGCAGCTCCGCCCGTTGGAAAGAGTGTGGGATATACCACTACTAGGAATGGGAGGGGGGGACTAAATCTTTTAAGATTTAAATAGCACATTATTGCGCGATTATAATGAGCACCGCTTACATTGTGCTTTCAATAAATACTACTGCATTGTTCAAAAATTATTAACTGTGTCTCAAATTATTCTAGGGGGGTACAGCTTTACTGAAGCGGGAGTCATGTCCCCCCGTCCCCCCTGGGATTTCCGCCCCTGGTTGAAAGCACACTGAACTGCCATTCTTTGAGCCTCTCTCTTTAAGCCATGAGCTCCATCTAGTGGGCTCAGAAAATAAAGACAATGTTTCATGAGGCTTCATTTGGCCATCACTAATGACCGCCTGTCATTCAAGCGGCCCCGCCATTAAATGTGCGTAAATATGGACCTCAATAAAATGTGATCAAGTGAGTTTTATAAATGTTTGAAATGTTAAAATTAGCAATAGAGACCAAAACTATTTTTTTCAACCAGGCTGTTTATTTCTGCTGTAAAGTTTTTGGCACTTCCACATTGGCGTCATTTTTCAGCCTGGGAGGTTGCAGCTTGGTCAGTCCTCACAGACGTCCATTAAAATACCCAACTTTACAGTGGAAATAAAGAAAAAAAGGTTTTGGTCTCTATAGCTAATTTCCTCCTTCATGACAAACGCACAGGGGGCGGATTTTTATATAACTCACCTGTTTACATTTCATTAAGGCTTAAAGTTATTCACAATTAAGGGCAGGCTTTGAGTGACAGGCTGTCTGCTCATAGTGTCCTCATCTTCTCAGCCAGATCCACCCCTCGCTCCTCCACAGCGCCAGCCTCTCGTCCTAATATGCTCACTTCTGGCAAGATGGGTGACAACCAAAATGTCGAACTCAAGGCTTCAAAACAGGAGTCCACAAACCAATGGGTGACATCATGGTAGCTATGTTCATTCTATGGTGCTACGTCAGTGTCGTTAAAATCACAAACTCAAAACTGCAGTTTTATTTTCACTGGAACAAGTTGCCTTTGATTTTTTTTAATGAATCATCAAAAAAAATTACAACTATTTGTCAATTTTCACTCGCTCCCATTATTTCCTTGCATAAAAACATGCTTCACAATTTTTTTTGTTTTTGGAAAGCTGCTGTGAAATTCGGCATCTTAAGCCGCACAAATCCCCCTCAAGAAAGCCTGTGAAACGTTGAAGGGACTGATAAATGTCAGTGATGTGTCTCATCAGAGGAGAAACGTGAGTGATTCTAAGATGCATAATATGTAATCTACTACACTTGTCTATGGTTCCAAAAGAAGACACAGCCCTCGACAGGAAATGCAGAAACTGTTTCTAACAAAGTGCAGAGGATTTTAGAGCTCTTACTCCTGACAGCACAAAATATCAGCGTGTTTCTGTTCCAAGTCAAACAGCTTTATATTTAGAAAAGGCCAAACGTCAGAAAGGAGGACAGGCTGAAATATAGTGGTGCTAAAAAAAGATGCCTAAATGAAACGATACAGATTTAATTAATGAAAGCAACATGCTTTCACATTTCACAGATCTTACAAAGACACTGAGTCTTTGCTGGACGTGAGGTATTATGATTAGGAGTTTAAAACACACTGGTGAGAGCAGAACATCAATATATGACATGGATCTCAGCCAAGGCCAGAGCTTTGGTCTCCACTGACCCGAGGCCTACTTAATCATTTAGTGGCATTGGAAAAGGCCTGCAACATCAAACCAGCTCCCAGACTCAGAGGCAGGAGGCAGGAGAAAGTCGTAAACAAGACAAAAAAACAAACAGAGCGGGCTGAAGCTATGCTGATATCACTGTGGGAAGGAGGAAGGGACAGAGTGCTGACTATGGCCTCAATGCATTGCTCACTTTCCAACCCTGAAGCTAGACACGTCTACATAATAGAACAAGAGACATGTGGACAGAGACACACACAAAGGGACAGTGATGGTGAGCAGCCACCTGCAGTCTGGACAATTACTAACTGGGTAGAAGGACAGGAAGCTGCTGTAACACAGTCACAGCTTCCACTGAGAGTTTTCAACGTCAGTCGCTCAACTCTTCTTTATGATTTTGTTGGATCGGCAACTTTTTATTAAAGGATAATTTGGGTGAAATTCTACATTCTTCTTACGGCCCTGACACACCAAATCCACAGTCGGCTGTCAGTCAATGTCAGGCCGTCAGTGAGCATCTGTCACCCCAGTTTTTGCACTGTGTCCCGCACTGTGGGCGCTTGACCCTTACCAGCTGTTTTGCGGCCTATCTGAATGTGTTGTTAATGTGCTAACTGGCTAACTACCGTCTTGAATCAGTCCTGTTGGGTTTCCTGTTTGCCTGGTACGGAGTTATTTCCTCTCACGCAGGCGCAGATCGTTCATGCTGGGTCGCTGTTGGCTGAAGTACTTGTGGTGTGTTCAAGGGCCACTTTTGGCCGGGACACAGGTGACGTGAGGCAACACAACAGTCAGCTTTGGTCGCCACCAGTACACATGAACAGGCCTGATATACAGTATCTCCTTCCTCTGTGCCATAGAGCTCCATTGTTGTTAAACACAGTGAGCAGTGAGCCACACACTGGCTGACAGGTTTCAGTATTGAACAACTTTTCTCTCTCGAAGCGCTGCATCAGATACTGGCACCGTCACAACATCCTAACAGAAACCACAAATCATCCTTAGTTCACCCTGTTTGGTTTTTACAGTCCTTGAGTTGCAAATGAAGAAGAGACCAAAGCCTCGAGGCTACGTTGCGGCCTTGGAAGAGTGTTTGGGAAGTTAGCAGAGGATTCGTTTCAAGGTCTGTGACGTCCTCAGGTACTGTCACTCTAACACAATGCTATCTCTGCTAGTCGGAGCACCAGCTGACACTGTTTCCACCCTTTGCGATGACGGGCTACTCAAAAGTGACAAGATGATTTAAGTTGTGATAAACCTCAGAGCTGAACCACAGTCAGCTCTGTGAGTCTAAACGGTCGAGACAGAGAGGCTGACACTCTAACGGCCTGACTCCCTTATTTACACCTCCAATTCACTGCTGTGACGGGTTTTATAGCACAGAGATGTGCTGAAGCACCACAACACTCATTTACAGTGAAACAGAGGTGAGTTTATCCCAAAAGAATACTCGTGTCATAATGAAAGAAAGCCAACAGAGAGTTCCAGTTACTCCCGACAGAACCACAGTGGATACAGGAGGAAGACGAAGAAGAGGATGTTCTTAGTTGACTGCTTCTAAAAGCGTGTTAAAGAGGGGTCCCTACAGCATGCAGTTACCTTTTGGTTCCCACTCTGTGGTTTGGAGCGATGTCGATGGTGTCGGTGGCCGAGTCGTGGCGGACAGCAAGACCCAGGTCGGCGATGCAGCAGGTCCCGTTCTTCTTCACCAGAATGTTCTTTGACTTCAGGTCTCTGTGTGCGATAGCAGGTTTCCCTGGAGGGAGACAGAGAGTCGTACTTTCAACAGAGGGCCCACACTCACTGAAACTCAGTTGGAAATAGAGCTGTGATCACAGAGTTCAAGACAACACAGAGAGTTAGAGGTCAAACTGCCAAAGATCAAGACCTTTGACAGTTTCCGACATCTACATGAAAGATAAGTTACAGGTTTTATGACCATTGGACAGATGCTCATTCGTTTACGACCAAATCTGTGTCAGGCCACACCCTTCTCTAACGTCACCCCCCACTGGTCAACTGCAGAAACATTTTGGGGACCTGCTTCAACCGTAGACTGTATCATAAAGATGGACGAAGCATCTCGCTGTACAAAAATGAGGCCAAAATATCCTCGATATGGCCGCTGCCATCTTGTGCTGGTGTCAGAGTCGGCACAGTAGCAATCTCCACCCAACTAATCACGAGCAGCTCCGTTTATCGCGAACACACCAATTAGCACACACAGCTGTCAATCATGACATCGACACAGATTTTCGTAGCATCAAAAAAACTAAATAAAACCAAACTGAGCAGAAAAATGAACCCTTTAACAAACATCAGTTTGATAAGAACTACCTAAAATTAGAGAAACCATTTTTGGAGAAACACGCATTTTTTTTACGTGCACTTGGAGTTTCTAGTTTGGCCCATGTCCCATCTGCTAACATGGAGGAGGCAGGGTTTATGACCTGTACTGCAGCCAGCCACCAGGGGGCGACTGAGATGTTTTGGCTTCACTTTTAGGGACCTGTCATGTCATTCGTCTTTTTTATACAGTCCACGGTTATCCATCGAGTAGTGTTATATTCAGACAAACTGTCATTGATTCATGGCCAAATTTTACATCAGGCCAATGCACTTGGAACTGGTGGTGCCCCCTATTGATAGTGATGGCCAAATGAAGCCTCATGAGGAATTTTCTTTTTTTCTGAGCCCACTAGATGGCGCTTTTTGTTCAACAAAAGGCTGAAAGCACACTGAATTGCCATTCTTTGAGCCTCTCTCTTTAAAACAGGAGCGCCATCTAGTGGGCTCAGAAAATAAAGGAAATGCTTCATGAGGCTTCATTTGACCATCACTACCTATTGAGTGATTAAAACAAATTAATGTTACACATGTGGTTCAACCTTGTTATAAAACATATCTTTGAGTTTTGTGATGATTGGACAAACAATTTCTGATTTACAGTCTGATCTGTGTTATGCCACGCCCACTTTCTGTATTTGTAACGCCCTCTTTGGACAATTTGAATAAAACTTTCAGGGTATGTTACAGATACTTAATTGGACATTTCCTGCCATTTCGTGTTGACTGGCAGGTTAGGCTTAATAATGTGCTTAGCCACGCCCCTTTTTAAGTTCACTAGCTAAATATCTTTAAAACATGATGAGATATCAACAAGTCTTAATCCCCGATCACATAGAAAGCTTTTTGGAGGTTGCAAGCAGAGATCTGTGTGGGTACATGAGACCCTAAAAAAGAGGCTGGATCATGGGGAGTACCACCAGTTGGTCCAGGAGCTTCTCCTCCATCATGGACGTTTCACATACTGCACTTATCTGCTTCCACGCCTGCTGTTTTCTATTGAGATGGTGCTAACTGTGGTTTGTAAAGTCGTATAGTTCTGGGTATCCAGCAACCACTACCACCAGTTTCTCCAGTTGCCCGCCTCTCAAATCATCTGGTTGGACAACAGGAAAAAAAGCGGGGATGATGACGGGCACTTTTCCACTCTGAGTTGAGGTTTTTTCAACTCCAGTTCCAAATGTTCCAGTAAAAATGCCAGGCACGTAGCGAGGCAAAAACAGTGAGCAAAAAGCTTCACTGTCATCCAAAACAATAACAAAAAGCCGCCTCCAGCTGCTATTACACTTTCTGTGTGATCGGGGCCTTGTGCACCTTTTGACAAGGTTGGTCCAGTAACAACCCACAGAGAATTTGGTATAAATAAGACCTAAATTTTAAGGAGGATATGCCACAAATATATATTTCAAAAAAATTCTTGGGCACCCTTTTCACACAACTTCCAATCATTGGTGAAAATTTATTTTGTCTGCGATGGACCATCTCGCGGAAATTATTTAATAATAATCTAAATGAGAGGATTAAAGATGACCTGTGTGTCTGCAGAGATGGGTACGTCTACATCGCCTCTACAGTTTCTTGGATGAATCTTCATTTGGCTTTTTCTTCCTCCATCAGATGACTGATCCACCCAGGACACATGAAGTGGCTGGTTGTAAATGGGGTCTTTGACTGCTGGAGACATTTTTCAGGTTGTATCTTTTGGCCACAAGCAATAAAGGGACTGCTCCTAGTAATTTCCTGTGACAACAAGCATTTGTGTGCAACAGCTGAGACAGATGATAACAATTAGAGGAAGTCCAGTCTCTGTTATCTTGCTCCAGACTCTCTCCTTTCTGGACATTCATACAGCATTTTACTCCAGCTGACGTGTGTCCAGCTCAAGTGGACATGTCCATTTAAGGTGTTTGGTTTGTCTAACCAAGGTGAGGCTGTTAGTCTTCCTCTTCATGAGGACATTTTTATAACAGGCCTCCTATTCTCCAATTCAGTGTTATGAAGATATGACTCTGCTTGTCGAATAAGATGAATCAGACATTAATTTAGGAGAGTGTATTACTTGTCTGTGATAAACAGAAGTGTGTGTGTGTGTGTGTCTCACCTTGTGTTCCCACGATCTCCATGTGAAGGTGGGCGAGGCCGCTGGCTGTGGACAGGGACAGTTTGATCATGCCCTCCACAGTGACTGTGTAGCGGTTCAGGTAGTCGAACAGCGAGCCGTGCTCATGGTAATCAGACACCAGCCACAGCTGAGTCCACGTCCCATTATCTACACACAGACAGGAAGAGGAGCGAGGACATGAAGGGTTAAAGATGAAGGTGGTTTTGATCTTCCAGAGGGAATGTCACTAGAGCCTGGCTGATTTAATCTGATGCCACAGTGCAAGTTTGATCTAATTGGGATGATTCTGCCTACATACCCACAGTTTAACACAAATATTTGTCTCTGGAGAGACACAGGCGGAGGAGGAGAGTGTTCTGTGTGTCAGAGATATAACGACCATACCAGACATTCGCAACTTTAGAAGTGTCATAAAGAAACAAACTAAAACAAAGACAAATTTAGTGAATACTGTTTTTCTTCTCATTTTGTTGAGAAATAAACAGATGTTAAGATTTTCCTACCAGGGATTACAGAAGAAAAATAAACGTAGGTAACAAAGACATTGAGCATACAGTGTTTCCCACGTGGCGTCAGCTGCTGGGTGGGTCACAGTTAGGTTAGATTTGATACGAACCAAAAACTTCAGTTGATCACGAAGCCCAAAGTTGCTGTATAATCCTCTGCTTTGTCAGTACAGCGTATAAACTACACTGCAGACTGAAGTCTGACTCATATGACCCACCCGAAGTTGGTCTGCATGTGTCTGTGTTGACACTGCACTCCATTTTTATAAACTATGATCATCAGGTCATGGATCACACCGCTCACTGCATCCAGGTGCAGTCTCACTCCCTCTTCCTCTCCTCGCAGCTCTGGTGCTCATAGAACTGGAGTTACATCTTCTAACTACTATTAAGTGGCATTTATACTTGTGCCGTGGTGCCTCTGTGTCACTCTGCAGTTACACCTCCAAAACACTAGTCAGCAGTAGTGATGGCCAAATGAAGCCTCATGAAGCATTTTCTTTATTTTCTGAGCCCACTAGATGGCGCTCATGGTTTAAAGAGAGAGGCTCAAAGAATGGTAATTCAGAGTGCTTTTAACCTTTTGTTGAACAAGAAGCGCCATCTAGTGGGCTCAGAAAATAAAGAAAATGCTTCATGAGGCTTCATTTGGCCATCACTAGTCAGTGACAGGGTTTCTGTGAAGTGCTGGAAAGTTGAGTTGATTCATAACACACATTAAACACACATTAAACACTCACTAAACATGGCTTAATAGAGACAGTTTCAAACACAAGTACACAAATCAGCTTCACTATAACTTGCAGCATTCACAGACAAACACTTGTCTTTATCTGGACACATTTTCCCCACAAATACAACATGCTAACTTTATTAGCACAAGCCTATGGCATTTTACATTGTATAAATTAGCATCGCACTAGTTCCCTCGTCAAAGAGCCTTTGGGATTTTTCCATTGGATTTTTAATCATTGCAGAAAATAAGCCGACAAAAGTTTATGAAACTTCTTCACAAAGGAATACTTAGGATTTTTGAAGCCTGAATGAAGTCACCAGAAGTAAAAAGCTAACGTTGAGTTATAAACGAACTCCACTTTGGTCTCATGACTTAATGTCACCACCACAATGAGCCTGTAAAGCCGTGCTCAGCGTGATGGTGTTCTGTAGTCTCATTTAGCGACATGTTAGCAACTTTTTATAAGACACATAAAAGCCCCAGAAATCACAAGTAGAGTGATCAACTGTCATATTTTATGTTGTAGAACAAACCATGAAAGTCTCTTCAGCTTGCGTGAACCACAGACCTTATTTCAGGCCTCAAACCAAAAACCCATTGACTTCAAGACGAGGGAACCGAGAGCGCTAAAATGGTAACTCATCTCTGGAGCACTCTGTAGTTCTTTTAATTAATCTATTTTACTGGCACTCAGATTTTAAACGGTAAAAAATTGTGGTGGGCCGCCACAAATAAATTTGTGTATGGGAAACTCTGAGTAAATGTTGTCATGAATCTGTTTCCTATAAAATGCTGCATTGGCTGCTGCAGTTTCTGTTTGCACTGTAACCATGGATACAGACAGCAATCACTGGATTATTGTTGATAGTAGAAAAAACATCTAAACATGATGACTGTCAGATCTTTGGAGGGCATTTTTTCTGATTTCTAAGCAGATTAACCGTTAATCTGAGATGGACATCACCCTGGAAAGAGTGAGTCACCGTGATCGCGGCTATTTCTGTACGTCCAAACTTGACTGAGTCATGAAGTTGTTTCTGTAGACACGTTTTCCTCAGACAGCGCCACCATAGCTTCATCACGTCCTACATACCATGTATAGATAAGAGCCTGAGAAACCGCCCATCAGTCAAACTGTGCGAACACACTAACCCATTTAAACTCCTGCGTGTGTGTGTTATTAGAGTTGTTCGCCAATGTGATAATGTGAGTTTGGCCTTCACTGTGAACTGTTCCTCCCCCACACTGTCTATCAGCCAGTCTATTCACAGTAAAGGCTCGTCTGCACTAACTTCACCTTCAGCAGAGCTGCTTTGCTGCTCTGACAGCTCAAGGTTCACATGTCATTAAAGCAGCCCACACAGCTCAGCCCCGAGAACATCTCATTTACAGGGTTTGGTTGATATGCTTGAATCAATCTTGAGTCTTTGACTGCACTTGAATTAGCCTCATCATCTGGTTTCATTCATTTCTTTTTGTCAAGCTATTCTTGTATGTTCTGTTCTGCAGCTCTGAATCCAGCCTCTCACAGCTCTCCTGGAGGTTTCTCACCTTTGTTATCGGCAGCGATGAAGCCCAGAATGTTCTCGTGTCTCAGCATCACCGTCTGGTAGATCTCAGCCTCGCGGAACCAGGAGCGCTCCTCCCGTGAGGAGAAGATTTTCACTGCCACCTCCTCGCCGCGCCATTTACCCCGCCACACCTCCCCGAAACGGCCCTTCCCGATGCTCTCCTGGAGGATGATGGTCCTGGCGATCGTCCTTTGGACCAGCAGTGGCAGACCTGGAGACAGACAGAAACTAGAATTACCATCTTGCGGTTGTTTGCCTCTACGAACCCATCAGGGTGCAGTCACAGTTTACACCCATGACTTTGACCTTTAACCAGAGTGTAAGAAAACGTTTGTGTCAAATTTGGAAAATTTCCACAGGGCGCTTTTGAGATATCAGGTTGACAAAATGAGACAAATGCAAGCTCACAGTGATCTTGACCTTTGACCACCTATCGCCGGCTCAGAGGCATAATAAAAACATTTAAAAAGCTGACAGCAAGTTGGTGATAGGGAACATATCGTTTGTTTTGGGGGAAAAGTGTGTGGAAAGAAATACAGAGGAAAGTCTGTGGAAAATGCCGCAGTTAAAAGAACCCTGACATTATTAAATTTAAGAGGAGGCAGAAGACTCAGTTCATAAACCTGAAAATACTGCATCAGGGAGTGTGTTTACACGGACATCAAAAACCTATTTATGAGGCTTAACACAGTTACAATCAAACTCAGGGTATAGTGCGAACATAGCACAGAGAATTTCACAGTACTCCAGGTAGCATATTTGGGTTTATTATAAATGGGATAAGGGCTAACAGGATCTCAAATACTCCAAAACCTGATCATGAACGGATTATTCACGGCCATGTAAACACACTCAGATGGGCTTGTTTCAACTGCAGCTTCAAAGGTGACTCAACACTAAATCTTAACTTTTAAATCTTCACTTATTTACACTTCTCTGGTCCCATTTGATGGTGCTGTTTGCAACAGTTATTTTTCTTTTTACAGAGAACATCTAGTAGTGGTGTCCTCTTGACCCCTGCAAATCTGTGTAAGTCTGTGATGTTCCCTGGGATATATTATGAGGGAACACCATGTCCAGCGTGTCAGTTCAGACGACAGGAAGTGGAACACTGGAGCAACCATCTGACAGAGCTGCGAGTGGCCTGGGAGTGTCTGAGAGACTCTTCACATGAGTCTTTAGTGGTCGACAGGGTGGCATTGTTTCATTTACAGAGGAAAGCTGGGGCATTCAAATAGAAAGTAAAAATCTTTACACCTTTGCGTGACGTTACACTACACATTTCTGCTGTAGGGCTACAATGAGTAGTCGACTAATTGATGACTAATCGACTATTAAAATAATTGGTGACTATTTTAGTAGTCGGATAATAGGTTTTCATAGTAAAATACTATAAAAGTACCCCAAATACCCTTAATGCAGCTTCTTAAGTTCAAATATTGGCAGCTTTACACACTCTCCCATGACGGTGAACTAAAACCCTTTGGCGTGAGTACAAAACAAGACATTAGATAACAAAATTTTGGGGTTTGGGAGAGACAGACCGACATTTTTCAACATTTTAACACATTTTTCGTTAAAATGATTAGTCGACTAATCGAAGAAATAATCAACAGATTAGTCGACAATGAAAATAATCGGTAGTTGCAGCCCTATTCTGCTGACTAACTTATTATGTACTTTCATTTTAATTTCCTGTTTTTCAGTCACGTAATGATAAACAAAAGATAAAAGTGAGGTAAGTCAGCAACCCGCTGAACCTTCTCCCATGTGCCAGTCAGAATTCTTTTATTCTGGGATCTCTACCTCCCCGAACAAACGGACCCGCTGCTCACTATGTTGGCTGACCTAAAAATGTGAATGTCCATATCTAAAGCCAGTGTTTGTTTTGTTCATTCTTGGCTACTGTAGAAACATGGCAGTGCAACATGGCGATCTCTATAGACGAGGACCCTCTCCCTATGTAGATATAAACGGTAGTGATGGCCAAATGAAGCCTCATGAAGCATTTTCTTTATTTTCTGAGCCCACTAGATGGCGCTTTTTGTTCAACAAAAGGTTGAAAGCACACTGAATTGCCATTCTTTGAGCCTCAGTGGGCTCAGAAAATAAAGACAATGCTTCACGAGGCTTCATCTGGCCATCACTAATAAACGGCTTACTCTAAAGCGGGTGCCACAGCAGCACGTGCTGCCTCTAGCACACACAGGACGCTTTGCGCTGCAGCCCGTTTACAGTTGACCACCCAAAGTTATTACTTCTTTTACTGAAAGATTTGTAGCTCTTCCACCGCTGCGTTAGCTTAAAATCACATGAAGAGCTCACCCGAAGAGCTGATCTCCAGAGCTATGACTCGCCAGGCAATATCTTTTGGGCACTGTCTTTTTAACGACAGAATTGTGGGACGTTTAGCTCGAGATATTTCTCAACCTCAACAACGAATCTCTCCTCATCCAGTCTTCGTCACACACGTGACACGGCAACAGATGCCGAGTTCTCTTTATGCATCAATGGTGAGGAGAGGAGTCGAGCTGCCACAGGAGCTGGTCTGTACAAGCAGAGAGCGAGTGAGGGAAAAATGCATTTAATTCTGGGTGCTGGAAATAGGACCATGGCATGGAGTGCTGCGGGGCGGTGCGTCCAGGAGCTGCCACCGGTGTGGGGTTGTACATAGAAAATAATAGGGGCGTATTTTTTAACACGCAATATTCTCCACAAGTGACAGTGTAATAAAGTGATGGTATAATACAACTCAAAAAAGTGAATTTAGTGTTACGTCACTGTTTAATAGTGTTGGGTACCGTTTATTTTTAACTGCTACCAGAGCCTGGAATTCAGCACTGGTAGCTAACAGTTCCTTTTATCTGTATTATCATTGTCCAACAATCTGCAGGCTGACGCAGTCTCGCTGTCTCTCTGAGCACAGTAATAGCTGCAGATTAAAATAAAGGTTGAATGAATGAATGACAGGCTGTTCTGCTCCTCTGCTCTTTTCTGATCACACACAGAGCTGAGCTTCATCACGGGTAACCTCTCTCTCTCTCTGTCTCTCTCTCTCTCTCTCTCTCTGTCTCTGTCTCTCTCTCTGTCTCTCTCTCTCTCTGTCTCTCTCTCTCTCTCTCTCTCTGTCTCTGTCTCTCTCTCTGTCTCTCTCTCTCTCTGTCTCTCTCTCTCTCTCTCTAGCTCTCTAGCTCTGTCTGTGTCTGCTCGTCTCTTCCGCTCTCTGTTGCCAGGAGCTCCACGGCCGGCTTCCTGGCTTGGGGCGCTTCCACCTCCTGTCTGACCTGGTGTTCTCACCCAGATGCACTCAAGGTACCCAAAATAATTTAACGTGAATCAGTGCTCGAATATTTGGTCAGTACTCTTAAAAGTACCAAGTTTGTTACTCAACCCTACGATTAAATATCATAAGTGTGAGTACTCCCCCCCCCCCCCCCAAAATAAACTGACTTTATTACAACTCCATATTCAAAATCTCCTTCTTTTTCTCTATTAAAAGTGGCCCTAACATGGCACCATACTCAGGACCATTGACTCAACCCCTTGAATTAAAGGAAAGATGCTCCGCTCTTCTACCACTGTTTGACTTTCTCAGTCTGAGCGCTTCATCTCTCACTTAACTGAGCGGTGCATCTTTCTCAAGCCTCCTCACCTTTGAACAGCTGATGTTTACTAGTTTGGTGGGAGGTAAACATAACCTTTATCTTCTGCTCAATAACTCAGCATATTCAGAGGAACCTGGACCTTCAGCACAACAACTGTAACTCTTTCGGATCACTAGTCTGCCAACGTGCTGATGAGGAAACGCAAAATGATAGTGGAATGAAAATCCTCCTCCGATTTCAACAGGCACCACACACACACACACACACACACACACATATTCTGAGTCAGCAAAGTCATTAAAACAGCCCACACAGTTCTGCCAACACACACACACACAACACAGACACAGACACACACACACACACACACACAATCGCATATCATGCAATATGGTGTAAATAGCTAGAAAAACCGAGTCCAAATTTTTCCTTGGCAGCATGTCGGAGGTGCCAGTCTCCACAGAGAGGTGCTAATTTATGGCAAGCATAAAGAACATATTTTGCCAGTGCTGTGTGTCTTTGTGTGTGAGTGTTTATGCAGCTTCACAGCCTGAATCTGGGCCAGCCACTCTTTATAAGAGACCTGTACTTTAAGATGTGTGCAGCTGCAGAGTCTGTATATGTGTGCACACAGAGAGAGGACAGTGTGTGTGCTCCTAAGTCCTTTTAAATGGAGATACACACTCACAAAGACAGGATCACACAAACTGACAACTGCCTTTAATACTGAAGCATCAATGCCAGTTTGAATTTCTGTCTATATTTAATGCTGTTAATGCAACACTTTGTTTTAAACATGGACGACATTAGTAAAATCCCTGTGCTAAGGTGCTACCACAACTTTTTATTTGTCAGCGGTTTGTAAGGTAGGGGATAACGTCACCTGCTTCCTCAACAGCTTCCTCTTTAGTGTGGTGTGCTGAAGTGTTTCTACACAGGAGTGGAAATATTTGGGGAAATGCGCATGTAATGACAGTGAGTGGTTGACTGGCTGAATGTGGAAAAACTGAGACATATTGTTGAAACTGCACTTATTTTTCTGAAAGCCCAGTTCAGACCAAAGAGTCCCGACGATGACACAATTTTAGAACGTTGCAGAGAAAAGCAGCAGATCTGAGACAGAGTTCAACAGGACTCTTGTCCCGACTGGTCAGGTCTAACTTAGTAGGAACCAGGTGGACCTGTGAGGATGGCGACGCACAGTGAGTCACAGCTCTACAAACTACAAACCTGAGACTGTAAGCACAGCTGTGCTGCACTGAGCGGTAGACTCTGACCTTTATATGTTAACAAATACACCTTGTGAATGAACCGCAGCAAACAAGCCTCACGTCACAGCCCTCAAAGACGGTTTCCTGCCCAGGTGCAGTCACTTCCTGCAGTCTTGTCACCACTGTGAGGTTACCTGGCGACCAGCAAAGAATCCGGGAACCAAACCTTGTGCTTTCTACACTTCATGTTTGTACAGATTAAACATGTGAGATGTAGGTGATAGGTAAGCTTCAGAGGTGCTGATAGGTGTGTTCTGTTACCTTTGCTACCTCGCTGCATAAATATTCTGTGAATGCACCATGAGTCAACCCTGTGACATTGAGGTATTTGGTCAAAAATATCGTGATAACTGATTTTCTCCATATCGCCCAGCCCAAGATGATATCATTAGTTGAAGTCCAGTGCACACACGCACACACAATCGGCACAGACTGTCCAGAAACACGTGGACTCTGAGGTGCAGCACTGTACCTGATCCAGAGCCCGAGGTGGTCATGTCATAGATGAGGTCCTTCAACGTTGTTCCGACAGTGATGAAGGGGTGGTCCATGGAGGGGTCCTCTTCATTGGGCACCCGGTGGTGGTGGTGGTGATGGGCCCCAGCTCCCCCGGCCCCCAGACCCCTGTGGCTGTGGCAAACATAGAACGCCAAGACCAGTAGCAGGCAGAGCACGCACACCGGGCCGGCGATCACTGCTGCGAGGGCCACGGGGCCCAGTGGAGGAGGCTTTACTGTGGGCACTGTGGGACAGAGAGGAGACAGACACACACAGGGATCATCAGAACATATGACGGATTCCAAAGTTGGGTTTATGACCTGTGAGTGGAGCAGGTCACACCTGGCCCTGAGATCAACGTAAGAGATCAAGTGAGGTGGCTAACTGCTGGAAAGGTTCACTGCGAGCACACTGAGGGCTGGCAAGTGGCGGGGCTGAAGTGCTCGCCACCAGCCAGGAAGCTAACAGGCCAAGTGGTGCAGGGGCACATTCCATCTGCTAGGCTGATGGGAGATTTGGCCTGTAGCTAACACACACACACACACACACACACACACACAAGCCAAAGAGGCATCTAGTGTCTTCATCAGTATGTGTGTGTGTGTGGGTGAGACACCAAAAAAGTGAGTGCTTGTCGTAAACAAATGAGCCACTTGACATTAAATTATTCATCCTGAAGATGCTGCCCCTGTGCATGCACTCTGGTAACTCTGCAGTCCTCCCAGTCCTCCCATTTCTGTCATTAAAACTTCAGCTGAATGCGTCGCTCAACGTCACATTAAAAACTTACGACTCTGTTATAAAAGTGACTCTGACTACGTGGAGGAAGTTTCCAGGAGTTCTGCGATGGTTCAGACTTTGTAAAATGGGGCTGTATGAGGTACTTATCTACAGCCAGTGTGCTACATACAGCACATGGCGGCCGGCACGCCTGATTTCTACAAAGACAATATTCAATCAGTCATAAGAGGAGTTCACGATATCACAAGGACTCCTGTTTCACTTCCTGGTTTCCAAAAAGGCAAGAATGCTGCTCAAAGTTGGTTGGTTAGAAGTGATATCTCTTGTGTCAGAGTTTTTCGATGTGTTTCCCAGTGTGCCCAAAGTATGTTTGCTGGGCTTGAAGTTGGACACCGCAACCTACGCTGTAGCCTGACATGCATCACCCTAAAAATGTAACTACACATCACAGCGACGCAGACCTCCTGTCTGTCTCTGTAAGCTGACACCATTTCCCTCAGTGGAAACGAAGCTTTTATTTACTTTAATTTCACAGATAAGAAACAATAAATTGTGAAGACAATAAATTCTCCACTAATATAACATTTTAAGTCTTGTGTGTGATTTATCCTGGCTTCATATGAGCAGAGGAAATCTCCGCTCGTAGCTAGGCTAATTTATACAATGTAAAATGCCATAGACTTGTGCTAATAACGTTAGCATGTTGTATTTGTTTGGAAAACATGTTTAGTATAAGACAGTTGTTTTGTCAGTGAACCCTGTGAGCTGTAATGGAGCCGAATTTTATACTGTTACCTTTGTTAAATGCTGCTGTTGTCCCTGATTTTATATGAGAAGAGGAAAAGTCTGCTAGCTGCTAGGCTAATTTATACAATGTAAAATGCCATAGGCTTGTGCTAATAACATTAGCATGTTGTATTTGTGGGTAAATGTGTCCAGATAAAGACAAGTGTTTGTCTGTGAATGCTGCGAGTTATAGTGAAGCTGATATGTGTACTTGTGTTTGAAAGTGTCTCTATTAAGCCATGTTTAATGTGTGTTTAATGTGCGTTTAATAGATGGCGCTCATGGTTTAAAGAGAGAGGCTCAAAGAATGGCGATTCAGTGTGTTTTCAATCTTTTGTTGTACAAAAAGCGCCACCTAGTAGGCTCAGAAAATAAAGACAACGCTTCATGAGGCTTTATTTGGCCATCACTACTAATCGGACTGTCAATGGATTGATCCCCGGCTCCTCCAGTCTGCATGTCGAAGTATCCTTGGTCAAGATACTGAACCCCAAATTGCTTCAGAAACAAATGATCTGTGGGGTTCCCCAAGGCTCAATTCTTGGACCCATGTTATTTGAAATCTACATGCTTCCTTAAAGGTACAGTACATGTCAGTTTCCTGTCTTTCATTGTGGCGACTGTGGACAATGCTTCATGAGGCTTCATTTGGCCATCACTACCGCTGACTAGTGTTTTGGAGGTGTAACTGCAGAGTGACAAGACAAGTGTTTGTCTGTGAATGCTGTGAGTTATAGTGAAGCTGATTTGTGTACTTGTGTTTGAAATTGTCACTATTAAGACGGTTTAATGTGTGTTCAATGTGTGTTTAATGTGTGTTTCGAATCAACTAAACTTTACTACACTTCACAGGACCTAGAGCTTCCGTCGTAGCTACAGTGTAGATTCAAGAAGTATAAATTCTCCATAACACACAAATCCTTAATGCTGTCTATGATTTTCTGTTTCACCTAAAACATTACTTTACTGCTCCCTTTTTTATCATCACATGATTGTAAAACAGAAAACTAAAATGAAAGTACATGAGGAAGCACAAGTCAGTAGAAAAGTGTTGTGCAAAGCCAATTGAAGGTGTTTATGTGTATTTTGAAGCCATTGGAATATTGTAAAGTGTTTGACTGAATGAAGCCTTTAGCAAAGAGGTGCGACTGATGTGGAGTCTGTATTTGCTCTTGAAATGAGTGTCACATTATTATTCGTTTAAATCAAAAGGAGCTCAGGTCAGAAAGTGATTGATGTGTGACAGAAAGCCTCAGTAATGGACAGGGTGGGTGAAAATGTGGTGCTAAATGTCAAACTTCTGATGCACATATTTCACACAGCTAACACCGGTTAAAGAGCTGGACACAGACGGCCAATGACGGACAACCGTAAATCATTTTACAGACATGTCACACTGAGTTGTTTTGCATCGCCTTCCCTGTGAGTACAGATATCTGTGTAACTGTGGACGACTCAAACTTGCTTTCACATTTTTGTCACCACCAGGCACAGTTACAAAAAAAGTACTCGTGTTTCATCCAATTTTCATCTACCTTTATCGGGTGTCCTTGAATACACTGAGAAACCAGATGAAAAGAATCCAGTGTAAAATATAATTTCACACAACCTCTCTGTCACAAGTAGTATTAATGTCAAACTTCAAATGCTCAGTTTTGGTCGTGTCAGAAAGGTGCTGACTGGGCCTGTGGTTATTTCTAATGGACTGCAGTTAAATCACAGGTGTTAAAGTCAGTATGTAATATTATTGTTCTGCAGTACGATGGGTGCACTACTTCAGCTGCTGGAACATACCGAACATGGAGATCAACAGCAGAGAGAAGGAATTTGCTGAAGGATGTTTCTACTGGTGTTTTTTTTGCCATGACTCAACATTAAAATCCAGTGGACCTGCTTTGAATTCAAACAGAATCAGACCCCAATTACACAGAAAGTGTTTCAGCAGCTGGAGGCGGCGTTTTGTGATGGTTTTCAATGAGAATGATGCTTTTTGCTCACTGTTTTTGCGTCGCTACCTGCCTGGCGTTTTAAAAAACATTTCAAATCAGAGCAGAAAAGCGCCCGACATCATCTCTGCTTTTTTCCTCATTGTCCAATCGGATGATTAGAGAGGCGGGCCTTCGGAATATTAGTATGCATATAAACACAGCCAATAATAGGCCCTCAAAGGTGTATTAAAGTATGTGTGTGTGTTTTTACCAGGGAAGACTTCGAGGTTGGGCTCTTTGTTGCAGTAGTCCGTGGTACAGCACATGGGGAAAATGCCCGTGTCATGTTTGACAGACGGGGCACAGATGAAGGGCCGGTCTCGTGGGATCAGTTCGTTTTCGTGCACGCACTGGCGCTGCTCGGTGGTAAGCCGACCGCCCGACTTGCGGATGGCGACGAAACAGACGCCGTCTGTCGTGCAGCTGGAGTTGGCACTGCAGCGGTCACAGTAACACTGGAGGGCTGGAGGAGGAAGAGGAGAGGAGAAAGGGATGGAGAGTTAAACCTGAGGCTTGAAATGTCGGAGAAGACACGAACGTAACAAGTCATGAAGGTTTACGATATTAACTGAGCGGCTCGTTTAGTTTTCAGACATGTAATTACACCAAAGTCATCTGGCAGCAAAACAAAGTTTGGGAGTGATGAGTGGCATCTGAACAATGGCTTCCCAGTAACACTCCACCATGGCCAGTCCTCTGACACCACATATTTACTGGCAGCAGAGAAAATTAAACCTTTGAACATTTTGAAACACAAATACCCAGCTTCATGTGCACTTTTCATTTTGCTTCAGAGGAAAGTTTCAAAACATGTTTATTTTCCCGTTTCTGTTTTTCATTGAATCTCAGCACTTAGATCCAAGGCTGAGACCCATCATCTGCACACCACTTCCAGCTTGTGTTTGTGTGTTTGTGTGTTGTGTGGGCGTTTTGCAGCGATTCTCGCTGAGGACATGTGAGACGTTACATCACTCCAGTCATACTTTACACACACAGACTTATTTTCCTCTGAATGTTTGCTCTGCTGCTGCGCCCTGTGCGTGAGACAGACAGACGGACAGCTGTGGTACAGCTGGAGAGCACATGGCTGACATCAGAAACGGGTCAGGATGTACGTTGGGCCCTTCAGTCGTCCCCTCCATGGGACTGTGTCGCAAAAGTCACATGTTAACGACTCATTATTGACACTGTGGAAACTGCTCAGTGATCAGCTGCTTTAACAGGTCAAAAAGCTTGAGACAGATTCGTCACTACACAAATGCTGACAGGGCTGACACATAGACAGACAACCATTCACTAGTGATGGCCAAATGAAGCACTGTCTTTATTTTTGAGCCCACTAAATGGCGCTTTTTGTTCAACAAAAGGTTGAAAGCACACTGAATTGCCATTCTTTGTGCCTCTTTCTTTAAACCATAAGTGTCATGTAGTGGGCTCAGAAAATAAAGAAAATGCTTCATGAGGCTTCATTTGGCCGTCACTACCAGTTATTTTCGGTAACACCCGTTGACTTCTCGCTCATCATCTGAGTATTTTGTTCGTATGCTCCCTGGCGTTTGGAGGATATTGTAGTGACCAACATATTGAGTATAAACACCTCTGCACATGCTCATAGCTCACACACTGATTATAGCTATGTTTCCATCCAAAAGTGATTTGAATTATTGGGAAATGCACATTAAAAGAAATATGAATCCTGTGTGTTTCCATTAAATGTACAGACTTTGGTGAAAACTATGAACTTGCGTGAGTTTTCCGCAGAACTAGAAACAAAACAAGTCTTGCATTCTTCTTCTTCTACGTTTTCTGGCGGTTGGCAACCAGCTTGTAAATGCATTACCGCCTTCCCGACCCAGAGTGTGGATATCACCATGGAGAGAGGTGCACTACATCAGACTTAATTTGAACATAACTGTTTCCATCCCCCGTTTTCCAAATCAACATTTTTTCGAATTAACCAAAACCCGGCTAAAACGAGCATATTTTAGTTTGTGTGAATCAGGGGATTTTAATTTTAATTTTGCCATTTCCATCATAATTTTCTGATGAGATACTTCTAGGTGCGCATCTAAACAGGCTGATGGAAACATGGCTTTTGATAGTCCACGCCAAAGTGTTTTGTGTGAGAGGAAACAAAGGTTAAAATGACCCCCCATTTCCAATCAGTAGATATTATAGGCAGTGGTGCAAGGTAGCACCCTATTACGACGGGTCCTACTGCACACTATCATCACAGAATAAATTAGTTTAACAATATTTGACTCGTAGAATTGTTGATTTACAGCCACCCATTGTCAAATCCAACAAAAAAAGAGGCCAACACACTTTTCTTTTGTGTTTCGACTCAACTGAGCTGAGCCTTATTCAGAGACATTCAGAGAATGTGAAGCATGTCTTGTTATCCTGGCTGTTTTCCTCTGTTTCTGAAAAGATGTTGGTGCCACAGGTCAGGAGGACATCTTTAATCACCTCTAAACACTAGCAGAGTCAGAGATGTGCTTAATGTACGATAGTCTGCTCAGCCATCCCTCAGGCTCCAAACCATTAGTAGTGGTGTTATGGAGCTGTATGAATAAACCAGGTCACTTTCTCTGTGTGTGTGTCTCCACAGTGTTACTGTCTGTGTGTGTGTGTGTGTGTGTGTGTGTGTGTCTCCACAGTGTCCTTGCCCCAGCACAGGGCAGACAGGGGGCGCCGAGTCTGGTATCATCATCATGCAACTCAGAAGCACATCGCGCATGGCTGGCCAGGTTAAAGCAACACGCACCTTCTAAGACACGACCTGTGAATAATTAACAGCGCAGGAACACGGTCTGCCGAGTAAAGAGAGTGTCTGACATCCACACACACACACACACACACACACACACACACACACATGGGCAGATGGTATTAACAGTATCAAAGGAACACCAGTGGAAATCCACCCTATGGTGCAACATCTTCAAAGTGCCAATGTAAGAATTTAAATACAATGAATTATTAAGTAAATGCCAGTAAGAGTCCATTACACTACTGAGAGGGAAACAGCACCAGTCTGAGAATGTTAAAACATCATCTCAGCGCTCACTCAAGGAATTCAAGGAATTGTCTGGAGGTGAATTCCAGACAGACAAAGTGCAGGAGGTGGATATAATTACAACAGCAAAACAACAACAAAGACTGTGTGCGTGCGTGTGTGTAGAAGAAGGAAAAAAGACGCCAGACCAAGCAGCGGACGTCAGGAGACGGCGAAATAAAAGCCAGCTGACACTTGTCTCCTCTGACTCAGCTTCAGAGCAGATAAGTCAGATCTGTCTGCCCCACCGACACACACTCACATCGCACTGTGTCAGCTTCACATGTCTAGACAACAACACAAACACACTGCTCCATGTGGTGTTGGATTTATTAAATATGAGAAGTGGTGGTTCAAAGTCCTGCTGTTTGCCAGTAAGCAGCGATGTGCTGATACTCAACGGACAGATCTCATCAAGCAACAAGTAGTTTTGGAGTGGCCAGGCGTGTTTTCTGAGTTTGCTACTGGGCGTGCAGACTGAGTTACTCTTGTTGTGGAGCTGAGCTGGTTCAGGATGCACTGAGAGGATGAAATATGATCCAGAAAGTCTAGTTTAAGTTCCAGATCCATGTGTTTAAAGGCTTATCAGAGGTTTATACGACAAAGTACAAGATTAATTACAAGTCTAGAAAGTTATCATGCTGTTATTTTATCCCCGAAACCCAGTATTATGAGGGCCAAGGGGCCAAATTATTAAAGACCGTACTCAGTCGTGAATTTGCATCAAGATTAAGACATTCGTCACTGATGCATTTTTGCTATTCAATTCGTGTGCGAGGGGTGGGGCCGCACAAACACAGAGGCCCTGCTCTCAGTGACAATGGCAGAGAGAGCAAAACGTTCTGAGGTTATGGTCATACTTCACAAGAGTAGCGATGGCCAAATGAAGCCTCATGAAGCATTTTCTTTATTTTCTGAGCCCACTATCACATGGTTTAAAGAGAGAGGCTCAAAGAATGGCAATTCAGTGTGCTTTCAACCTTTTGTTGAACAAAAAGCGCCATCTAGTGGGCTCAGAAAATGAAGAAAATGCTTCACGAGGCTTCATTTGGCCGTCACTACACAAGAGTTGATGCCGACACTGCTTGTTGCCACAAGTTCGACAACTCCTTCGAAATTGAGCGCAGAAACACGACAGCGACAAATGCATCATTTTCAACCGCCTAGCTCGTAGTTCATCTCCTGTTACCCCGTCCACCTCAGGTATGTTATGGTCTATAACAGTTACTCATTTACGTCTCTGAGGTTTCTACCATTTTTCCCCATTAAAGGTTTTTCCTTATCCACTGTGAGGATCCAAGGACAGAGGGATGTTGTTCATGAGGAACATTAACTTGATGAGGCCACAAATATTAGGTACTCCATGTCTGAACAGAGCCACTGTATGAGCTCATTGTCTTTACCGCTTCAGCAGAGCGGCAGGAGAAGCCCTGGGAGGATCTCTGTGAACCACACACAGGTTCTGACATGCAGTTTGTGGTGATGAGTGATAAAGATTGGGCCTAACTGGGCTCCTCCAGCAGATCATGAATCAGCCGGTGTGTGGACGAAGACGAAAACCTAACCAGACTAACAGGTCTTTGGATGCAGACGGTGGTTACTGGTTTCTGAGTCAACAACACAGACGAGTCAGCGGCAGATGAACAAACCCATTACTTCTGATATTGAACGGGGCAACTGATAATTCCGTCTTCCTCTTTCCCTCCGTTTCCCTCCATCATAAAGTTAGTAGCTGGTTTGGTCTGAGCAGCAGAGTTCGAGGAAAAGTTCATGAAGCAGTCACCTGCTGAGATTTTGAATTTCAATGTGTTCCCAAACACACAACTGAACGCTTCAATAAAACAACTGAACAATTATGGAAATAATAAGGCGCCTGCAGCCCTGTCCTCTGAGGGGGCAGCCACCCTCTTTATATCAAGACTTTCTCTCAGCAGCATGGCGAGTGTCCCCATGTGTGCAAGCGGCTAATTAGAGCCCTTCTGTATATGAAGCATCTGCAGATAAGCCTGTACAACACCAGAGAGAATATGCTGCTTACAATGCCACTGGTTAGAAGAATGAAATGTGAGTGCGTGGGACACAGTTTACTGATAACCAATGCTCAGGATGAAACACAAATTACACACACAATATGTTTAAGTAGGGATGCGCCATAATATCAGCATGTCATCGGTACTGGCAGATAATGGCTTTAAAATGACAGGCCAGTAAGATGACGATTTAATTATGCAACTTGAAACAGGTCAAATTTGCCGTGGTTTTGACTACTGTCAGGACTGTCTTGACTTGATGTTCTCTGCAATTGGATGGAAAAACACGTGCATACTGTTACCTGCATCGGCAGTCGGCCAGCAATTGGATATCGGCAAAAATCCAACATGCATGTGTCGTGCTTCTGAAGGACG